TTACGTATTTTGTTTTCTTATTACGGCGCAGCGGCTATAGGAAGCTGACAGCCAACACGAGCACGGAGGAGATCCTGTCAGCTGTACTTGTTGTTTGCCAACATTTGAGTCCTTATTTATTTCACTGGCCGACGTCTCAGAGGCACAGACGTGTCAGTTAGCAGGTAGCGCTTCTTTCCTTTGTTTTGGTTTTGTTTTTTGTAAAACTCAGCAAGCCGGTTTTGATAAATAGGCACAGGATAACCCATCTCATCGCTTTGATGATTCTTGTAAGACTGATTCCAGGAGAGATTCTCCCTGTCGGGCCTATGTTGAAGTGAGTTGAGGCGCTTCACTCCGACATTTCTCATCTTTTCCATAGTCGCAATGAGATTTCAAAATCATCGAGCTCTACTTGAACACATCGTTGGCCTCCCGACCTCAATTTTTTTTTTTTTTTAAACACTCACTGCCTCCATGTCCCGTGGTGACAGAAGAGTCGAAGGAAGCTATCGAGAAAAAACTAAAAACAACAACAAAAAAACTTTCCTCTCTACTTGCTGATCTTTGAGTGAGAAGTTATGATATTTGGGTCATTTTTTTTCCCTGTGCCGAAAGACTCATTGAACCTACGCCTGCTGCTACTGCAGCAGCAAAAAATAAATAAAAATGCTGACAGACCAGGACGATGACAAAAAAAGCATGTCGCACTTCCACCCACGTTGAGCACCCCCACAAAAACTTACCCCTTGTTCATTTTTATCTTTTGGTTTTTGTGCTGTTACTTGCCACCGGCCCCCTGCTGGTCGGCGTGGTTGCGGCTCGAGCATGTCGGTTGCAGATGCAGCTAATGAGGGACGCTTGACAGGCTTGCGCCGAACCGCCCGCGTACATTTTCAACAGCCTCTTTTTTTGTTTGGAGAACGTTAACCTCCTTCTCACCCGCTGCTTGACGACGCTTCAGGAGATGACTAGGGGGGGGGAAAAAACTCCACACATACACGTCGTGTTTTCAGGAAAAGGTTAAAGCCAGAGTTTGTTCTTATTTGGCCCGAAGGCTTCAGAGAAGGTGGGCGGATCACACCAAACGTGTTGGAGTTCAACGTGCCGCTGACATTTTAAGTTTGTATGCGCCGTTGAAGCCGTACTTGTCTCTGAACGGAGGATGAAAACATCTATTTTGTGGTACCCACGGACGAGCTAATTTGTTAGCTTGGAATGAGCTAATTAAGCAAGTAGCACGTAAGGGAGTGCTGTAGACATCACCTCTGTTTATTCAGCCGCAAGTGGGATATGTCACGCGGCATCTGAACGCTTTCGCTAGTCAGCTAGCTAGCTAGCTAGCTGCTGTGACTCAAGGAGAACCTATTTGTGCGCCCACATTTTAGCCTTCCATTCGCTTGTCAACAAGATATCAACACAATTTGTACACCTGACTTCTTCGGTGGTAGTTTTCTGGGCCGACAGTTTCCCTGAGATTGGATTATTAGCCCTGTTGGTTCCTTCAGTGTGGATTCTACCTGTTTTGAGGCGGGATGGTATGCTATTTGCCATACTCTGCTTTTGTACCCTTCACGCTAAGGAACTTATGTGTACAATCATGACCGAAAAGAAATACGCTCACTATGTCTTTGTGGACGTATGTACACTTGGTCGATAAAGGGAGGGGCAATTTTCAGGAGAAACGGATGTGCTTTCCTCTTATTATTATTCTCCGAGGCTTTGGGAAGGCAGACTTGGAGCAGCAGCAGACAGAAAGTAATAAAAGGCCAGGCCCGCCGCACGCTTGGACACGGTTGAACCCCGGAGAGATGCGAGCCACCACGCTGGAGGATTTTCACATCTTTTCAAGAAAAACTAAACCGGGAGAGCTGAGGATGAACTGATGTCATGGAGACTTTCAGGCATCAGACTGCAGTTGAGTGAACCCCGCCTTTTTATCTTCCGCGTGTGATCGGGGAAAATCTGCAGTACATAGTCGTAAAACCAGATCGGTTCTGACTCTCTCGCCGGCAAATCCGAGATTATAGTGTCAGGCTTACTTCAAGGTGTTTATTTGTCACTCCGAGTTGAAATTTACATTTTTTTTTAATCTGCCCCACTGTGATGTCACAATCTGGCTAAATTGCAAACAGCTTATTCACAAATACATTTTCAGAAAAAAAGGCAGATAATAAAAGACTGACTTTGGTGTTCACCGATAATTTCACACTTGATGGGTGGGCGGCCCCATTTTGATCTCCTGTCAAGGGCGTTTTGCAAATCAAGTTTTGCCTGGCGAAGAGTCCAAGGGCCAATCAATCTGCTGTGATTCTGAACTGTCCTTTGGTGAGAGGACACAACTTCATTTCTTCACGATACGGTTTCTCAAGTAAAGAGCGACATTCAGTCGATCCGTTATCTGTGTTCACAGAGTCTTTGGCCTTTTCGTCTTCTCGCCGTTCTGCTGCTGCTGCTACTTATCTTCACCCATCTGCTGACCCGCCCTCCTCTCAGCCGGCGTTTCAGGAGAGAAATCAAGGTTTCATTTTATATTCCCTCCCCCCATCCCCGCCCAGTCCTTCACCATCCCCCTCGCCGGATCAATATCCAATTCTGCCGTCTGTCATGTCCACAAATAACCCTTAACCCCTGTCAACTTTCAGCATAAGTGACGTCACTGCCTGGCAGCCAGTCAGTGGATTTCGTTTGGGGCGATCCGACGCCGGCCTTTCCAGTGGTCACATTTTCACCACCAACAGCAAATGCTTTCGATCCCAAATGGGAGTCCAAAAGTACATTTTGAGAACTTCCATTAGATAATTCGCACAAATGAGCCCCAAAACGGAAGCAGATATGCTAGACGGCTAGACGACACAAAATTATAAAGCTGTTTTTCCTGTGCCATGAAATAAGGGCGGAACATGGCATGAAAGTCATTTGGAGGATCCGTTTGTAGTAGCCAATTACGGATTTTTTTTTTTCTCATAAAACCAAAAAGGGAAGCCTCATTTAAAAGGGCCTGCTGTCAACTTGTACTGACTAATGACTCATCTTTGCGAGGCTGTACATGCGCGGTACATTTTATACATTTTGCCCCGCAGGCATGGTGCAGACCACAGGATGCATCCCCTTACATCTTACATCTGTGATGAATAAAAGATGCAAGCACATCTTCCGAACGCTTTTCTATTGGATGTGAAACACTTCTACTTTTACTTATTCTCCGCTCTCGTAAAGATCAGCAGGTCACGTGAGAGTTGGGTCAAGGGAAGCCTCTCGTTTTTTTTTTTGTAGTAGTAGTAGTTGTATTATTATGAGCCCTTTCTCGCCCGCCGGGTGTAATTAATCAGCTCAGACTGATGTTTGCGTTGTCTGAGAGCCTGAGGAATTGTCTCGGAAAAAGAAGAAGAAAAGTTAATGCCTCAGCACAAAGTCAAAAGAGATGAGAAGTTGAGCTCCAGGGGAGGCATTGCTTCCTATATTTCTTATCCGCTTCAAAGCCAGACAGAAATTTGGCATCATAAGGCGAGGCTGTGCCGTGTGTCTGTGTGTATTAGTGTGTGTGGAAAAACAATCACACCCAGGAGTAAATCCACTGACCTCCACCTGGAGTTATGATGCCTCTGGGCCCACAAACTTGGCCGGCATTGCATTAAACGATCGGCGGTGTGGTGCAGCTCCTTGTAACGTTGCCACAGCAAGTGAATTACGTTGAAAATTCGTTTGAGTTTGACGGCATCGATTAGCCTCTTGACGCTAACACGATCCCTTCTCCGTGGTTGTGTGCTATTACTCGTTTGTACTACCAGTAACTGGCTATTCGCTAGGCAACAGCTAGCTTCAATCGATCTACCCGTCCATCTATCCATCTGTATATCTATCTGTCCATCTAGATCTCGCTAGATAGACAGCTGGTGGAAAGAAGGATAGCTAGCTAGACAACTAGCTAGCTAGCTAGCTATCCATCCATCTATCCATGTAGCTATCTCTATCTATCTATACAGCGCTTGTCCTTTTAAACATATCTCTATATCTATCTACACACACACACACACACACACACACACACACACACACAGACATTTATATGTAAAGTGCAGAGTAAAACAACTCCACTGACATCTCTGATTCAACTTATAGGATAAAAACAGCTGGTGCAAATTTGGTGTCGAAAGCCGGATCCGACGGCAGAACGGAGACAGCGTAGCGACTGATCACCATCCTCGCTTGGTCCGCAGCTGCGGTTTTCCCTACGGTAAGATGAATACAGCCTTCCATTCCAACCCAAACTTTGATTAGTGGGGTTTTGAACTTGTGTTTCCCCCGCTTGTGTGTTTCTGGCCCAAAGCTTCCCTCTGTCTTTGGTTCGGACCAGTCCATCTCGCCTCCCCTGCGCCCCTCAAGAGTCTTGTTATCGCTGCTGTTTGGTCATCCGAGGGTGGCGCGAGACAGAATAGATTGCCTATTAGCCTCCCGCTTTCAAAGGAAAAAAAAATAACGAACAAGCAACACAATCACGCGCTCATGGCGAGAAAACAGCAGCAGTCTAAGAGTTTTTAATGAGCCTTTAAAAAAAAAAATGTACATACGCGCATAGGGTACGATTGATTTTTTTTCTTCGACAAAGTGTTTTGAACATCTTGTCAAAATAACCTTGAGTGTTCCCACAGATGACAGAGGCGCCTTAATTAAAGGCTGCCGTATGCGGGTGTGATCATTACACGGACGCATTGGAAGAAGCCGGCGAGTAATGAGCACTTTCAAACTCGCCATGTCAAATTTATGGATTACAGGACTTGTTTGCGAGGCAGCCCTACTCATGTCCTATTTATTCTTTTCAAACAAACCAGAAAAATGCTCGCAAATTAATAATCAGCCTTTTGAAGGATCTTCAACCAATTATAGGCGATTCACTGAAATATTCTGAATTGCGCTTTACTTTTCACACTTTTTTTTTGTGGATGTTTTGATTAAGAGTGACTTTTTTCTTTTTTGCGCAAAAAGTCTCAAGCACCCAAATCAGACATTGAACAGGAATTTGGCCATTTTGGTTTGAAGCTGCCATTTCGGGTGAGCGAATTTATCGAAATGAGCCCTGAATAAATCCGCTTTTTAGGGGCCCGATCATGTCGGGAAAACTCATCAAATTTTGCAAGCTGATCTAGCTTGCTGAAAAACGGATCTGTTTTATTTTTTTTGGATTGTATGTACATTTTCAGGCAAAGCAAGATGGCTGCGGTCGAAATGACCTTGCCTAAGAGGAAATGGGCAGAAACGCCTCGGGTGATATTGGACCTGTCTCCTTGTGTGCAAGTTTGCATTCATCCGTTTCTCTTATTCTTGTCCAAGCGCTTTTCCTTCCCGTCGTCGACTAAAGGGTAAACATTTTCCCCTTGACAAACACGCTGTCAAGAGTAGAATCAACACAATTTGTCGCACTTACTGTAAACGCTGCAGAGTTTGCTCAGTGGCAGCACCGCCGATTGAATTCGGTAATTAACCTTCCCGTGCGCCGCTTTTGTTGGCGTTTCTTTGAATACCTTTTAAAATTGAATCTTGCACTCAGCGGCTTATTTACCAATTGAAGCACAAAACGCAGTCGCCCTTGACATTTTTATCTCGACGTTTTCCCTCACGGAGATGAACACGTGCGCAGATTTCACTCCGTCGGGGTCGACACCTCCGACGCAGGCGTTGATTCAAGTCGGATCGCGTCAGACGGCGGAATCGATGCACTCGCCAAAAGTGGCTGTGACAACACACGATTTTTTCTTTCTTTATTTCTCCTCTCAGGAGCTTCTCCGCAGAAAAAAAAAACTTTGCTGAATCCGACACCCTTAAGAGTGAACTTTTAATTTGAAAATCCACACGGGTTCAAAAAGGCGCCCTTCCGAGAGCCTTGATGGAGCTGGAGATACTCTCATCATTCTCGTCCAGTTTATATCCTTGAACACGCAGGCCCGTCCTCTATTCCGCAGAGAAATTGAAAATCGGGATTAGCCGACGTTTACGCGTATTAATTCACGCAGCCTCGAGACTTGTCGAACGGGCTTTTGACACCGATCCACTGGAAACGGCGATTCGTCACGTGTCCTGGCAGGACCGCCGCCGTGACCAATGCTCACGAGCCCTCCGGCGTTATTAGCATTCCCCGAGTAGGAAGCGTAATCAGTCGGAAGTCAAACGCCTGACTCGGCCATCTCGCATCATAAATCAAAAGGACAAGCGCAATATTATCGCCGGGATTGAAGAGATGGGAGGACGTGGGGATCGATCATAAAGTGCGCCCGCGACCCCGCCGCGCGGCGCCTAATTTCCTCTTCCCATTTTCCATTTCCCCAGGTGTTTATTCAGAATAGACTTTGAGCGGACGGCGAGGAGAAAAGAAATCGGGGTGGGGGGGGTGCTTTATGTATGCGGTAGTTGGTGTGTACCTGCGGTGGCCGCCGGCAGTTGTGGCTTCGCTCAGCTCCGGAGTGGTTTGGAAAATATGTCCGCGTGTGAGCCTGCATATTGCTGCGCGTGTTTGTGTGTGTGTGTGTGTATGAGATCGCTCCATCTGAAAAATGCTTCCCCAAACATATCAGCAATTCCAGAAGGCTCACACGCAGCCTCACAGGACTTCATAATTTCAAGTCTAAATAGGCTTTGCTGACTTTCCCGAGAGGTCTTCTGACATTGCCCGGCATATATTAAGGAAGTTTGGAAGGCTTAAATCCCAAAATAGTGGAACATCCGCCAAGATTTATTTCTTTATATATATATTTTTTTCCCCAGATGGCACTGTTGCAGGCAACACACACAGAGTGACTCGGGGTTGTTCTCATGTTGTGGGTCTGAATCTCAGCTTTCCAAAAGCATTCCAGTAGCTCTTCTTTGATTGCATACAGCATACTGGCATAAGGATAAAAATTGAGCACATCTGCCTTCCAGCTGAGAGGTCGGGAGTTCAAAATCTCGGCTGCGTCTTTGGCGACGGGTCAGACATAAAGACATGAAAAATCGTCCTTAGCATTGAATGAGTAAAAAATGCAAATCCATTAAAAAAAAAAAAAAACAGTAAACAATCTTCCAAGGTTGGTTTTCAAATTGATGCGCCATAAAAAGAATGATCTGCACATTTAAAGCGGAATTAGCATAAGAATCAACTGTTAAGATTTGGTGAGAGTAAACTTGAAAGACGAAACCTTTTTTTGCTGTTGGTGACGTCGGAATCCATCCCAGCAATGACATAGATAAGCGAGCGCAAAATAATTTTCTATTTTGTCGCTTTGTAACGTTTTCTCGAACAACGGACGTCTTTATTGGCGATGTAGGACGGCAAAAAGAGACGATTTACGATTACCCAAAAACCTTTGAAGGGAATGAGCTATTTCACTAAAAGTGACTTGGTTTGCTTTTGAAGACAGCAGTACAACTTTGGACTGGAAGCCACCGTTTTCAGATAAACTAAGATTAAAAAAAAAAAAAAACCGAAAGAAATAGTACAGAGCCTTGTGGTACACCACCGTGAATACTCCCAGATGAGCGCCATCATAAAGTGCGTGCGGTT